TTGAATTATGTAGTTGTATGGCTCTTACATTGCTTTTGAAATACTATATTATTATTTGAAAATAGGTCATGCATATTTAAAGATAAATAATGTAATCCTAGAATGATCATTAAAAACGCAAAAAATATAGCTAAATGATTTATGATGGTTTAACTTATGGTTTTTCAACTCGACAGTCTTTCAAGGATGGTGAAGAAGCAAAATTCATTCAGTAGAAACCACACGTTGATTTTTGATCTTTCCCCAAGCTAGCGGTACGTAGTTGAATACTCTCTTGAGAAAGATCTGTACCATGGTGTGGCTATCTAATATTACACTAAGTAAGCTTTGAGAAACTAGTACCAAAAAAAACCTTTCATTATGTTGAAAGGATCAAGTTCATCAAGAGCAATAACAGTATTAAATGTGTATGCACTTGAAAGCTGCCATATACGTAAGGGAAACTGGCAGCAATAAAGGGGAGATAAACAAATATACATTATAGTTTGGATTTTTTTTTAAGATTTTACTTATTCATGAGAGACACACAGAGAGAGGCAGAGACACAGGCAGAAAGAGAAGCAGGCTCCATGCAGGGAACCCAATGTGGGACTCGATCCCAGGTCTCCAGGATCACGCCCTGGGCCAAAGGCAGGCGCTCAACCGCTGAGCCACCCAGGGATCCCTATAGTTTGGAATTTAGCAAGATTCTCTCATGATTTGACAAAACAGACCCCAAAAAGTGAAAATTAAAATATAAATGATTTAAAAACCGTTATTGACCAATATGATCTAGTTGACACTAAATACCACAGCTAACAAATATACATGGGATGTTTATTAGCCTGGACTACAGATTGGTTACCAAAACATATCTTAATAAATATTGAAAGCTTGAAGTCATTCAGTTTATATCATCTGACCACAGCGATATTTAATTAGAAATTAATAGATACTTGATAATAAGGTATCCAAAAAAAAATCCCTAAGAATTTTATCAACGTACTTTAGATAAACCATGGAACAAAAAAAATTGTGTAAGTTTTAAAATGTCAATTTATATCATACCAGAAGTACTTTGCAAGTACCTACACTTAGAATAAAAAATTTAGATGTTAACTTAGAAATGCAATAGGGGCTACACATCTTTTCAACATCTTCTTAGAGGGTACTTGAGGGCCAAGGTGTGGAATCCACTGCTGAAGCTCGTGGGGGATGCTTAATGAATGATTCTCACCGTCTGAGATCATAACAGTGGAGGGTGGACTGAGGGGAGAAGTGTGATGAGAATAGGGGTTATGGGTCCTGTATTTCCAACTCACTTCCAACTTTGTGTCTTGAGGAGATCTTGGAGGGGCCAAGAACACACACACGCACATACACTCCAGTAATTTTTGGTGGGAGGAGCTCTCAGGGGGAGGTGCGTGTCTCCCAGAATGATGCAGAAATAGCAGAAATATTCCTCTCCCAAGAGTGTCCAGCTATAGTGGGAAGCATCATAGATGCTTTTCCCATTCATGAGTCAAGCTGACTCTCAATATCAAACCACAATTTAAACTGACAAATCATATCAACTCAAAAGAAGATACCCTGAAGGTCCAGTTTCTCTGACAATCCATGATGTTGCAGAAAAAGGAAGGTGATTGTAATCTCCCGCATCCAAGACACCAGCACAAATCAGTAACAGAAAAAAAAAATAAAATGGGAAGTGTCAACTCCTTTTTCCTATATAGAATTGTAGAAATAACATTCTGAAAAGACTAAGAAAATTGGAAATTCTTTTCATGTCATTGTACCCCCTCATGAGCCATGGATCACACATGTATATTGAAAAATACCCCAAGAAACAACAGGAATGACTTTTTTAAAAAATATTTTTTAAAAGATTTTATTTATTTATTCATTCATGACAGACACAGAGAGAGGCAGAGACACAGGCAGAGGGAGAGGCAGGCTCCCTGCGAAGAGCCCGACATGGGACTCGATCCCAGGACTCTGGGATTACGACCTGAGCCGAAAGCAGACGCTCAACCCGAGCCACCCAGGCGTCCCTTCCTAATAATTTTATCATATATCCATTCCGCCATGCAGAAGTCATTATGGTGTTTGGTCGCATAAAATGTTTGAATGACATTTTTATATACGTTAAGTCAGAGAAACTCTTAAGGAACAGACTTTGTCCTGCTTTTGTTCTTGGGGGAACACAAAGGTAACCTTATATAGAATAAACAGTTTTAATGTGTTTGTTATAATGCCATTCTTTAATAGCACTTTATGTAAGTAGCACTCAGGCATGGCAACGTTATAGCCCTGAGAAATACACAATTCAAACTGTGTGGGAAGTATTATTTTATGAGGTGAAGAGACAAATACATTAGTCACTACAGCGAGGATGACATTTTCTTGTCTTGAAGCTAGTTCTTCCAATTCTCAATAGTTAAGCACTATGAAAGTAATATTCTTATGAAACTATAAAAATTGAGATATATATCAGAAGCCCCTTAGGAAAAACAATTTATTGACAATGAAGTTCACTGAATGGCACACACATAGAATTTATAGCAGTTGATTTTGACTTTGCAGAAACACTGGTATTCTTGTGCAAAAGATTACTGGGTAAAATGATGTGGAATAAAGTCTTAAGGGAAAAAAATAAAAATTCAGCCTTCCATAGGTCTGTCATCATGTATAAAGTTCAATGAAATTCTCAATGCTTCTGGGTAAGTAAACATTTTTACTTAGTCTGATTATTTCCTTGTCTAGACTTGTTTCTTACAGGCTTAGCTCTGCTCTAAAACAAAGCTGCAACGTCTCTCATGATTTTAGCTACAAGAATAGATAGACGTAGGAAACCATTATCTTTTTCTTAAAATTTTTCCCCTTAGGCAGGAGGCATAAAGCCTTAAAAACACATTAAAATGATAAGAAATATATTAAAATTATTTAAACTAAGTTAAGATGAAATGTAGACAAGGGAAATACTGACAATAATTAGGGAGTAGTGCCGAATCATTAAGGTGGAAGATTCCTTGAGATAATAACTTTTAATATTTTTTTGTTCACTTTTTCTGCACTCACTTTTATCACAGAGTTAAAGCCCAGAAATAGGAGAAATGTCTATAGTTCTGTCTTTCAAATGCAGTAGGAGAATTATGAGTTAACTTGTGGCTTCCTTCTCCTAAATTTTATAAAAGCTGATATTACCTGGCGAGGATCAAGTGATCCACTGGCTGCAGGTGTCCCAACCTGGGTCACTGACATTTAACTGGGCAAAGAACACAACGGAAAGATTTCTTCCTGTTCTCGCAAGACAACACTTTCTAAATAAGGAAAATATTACGACATCTATTGAATAGTTATCACGTCATATGTTCTATTCTAATACTCCACTGGTATGAACTTGGGCAGACAACTAAGGCAAAGAGAAATTCAGTAACTTTTCTGAGACATTACACTTGGATTCAAATCCAGATAGTCAGGTTCCAAAGCCCAAGCGTTCCTACACTATACCCATGGCTCCCCGCCCCACCCCACGGTCAGACACAACACAGTCTGGATAACTGAATGTACAAGGCCCCTTAAAGAGAAAACAAATATGAATTTGCTCACATGTATGTAAAATATCACAGAAACACATGTAGAAATTGACAATCTTGGATGCTTCTGGGGACTTGAATGAATGAGGGATAACGGTACAAGGAGAGTTTTCCATGGATCCTCTTCTGGAAGTTTTGAACTTTGAAATACTCAGATACATTATTTTCACAAAAATGAATAAATAATGAATAAATAGAATTTTTAAAAGTTTTATCATGTCAACAAGCAATTCTATATACAACATTAAAAAGAAAAGTTGAAGACATTCTTGGGGAATTCAACATGTTTTATTTTGCCAGGCAAATGATTTCCTCAATATCCAATTAAATATTAATACACTAACTACATTTAGTTTATTTTCTCATGGAGCGAACATTCACCGTAATAACAGTTTCATCATGCTAAAATCTATCCACAAACCTACACTTTGAAAAAAAGTGCATTCCTAGGAAATTTTATGTACAATACAAATGGAAAACATAGTAAATCATCAAAATGTCAAACTACACAAAACAATACTAATTAACCACCAATATTCAGTATACGTTGACATTATTTTGGAGAAAGAAAATTTTCTTTACATTTGGCAGTCATGTTGAAGAAGAATTTCTATAATTTTAAAAGAAAAGTAATAAAAGTATATACAATTGAATATTTAAAGAAGTTATTAAATAGCACAAATAATATTACAAAACTAAACACCCTTATTGTCTATCAGTGTGTGTGTACACGAAGCAAGGGGACCTGTGTAGTTTATGCTATTCTCTGACTCTAAAACAATTGTACTTTAAACTCTGTACATAGAATAGATTGGCCATAAACCCGAGCATGGTTTTGGCCTTCCATCGATACACATTTTTATTTGTGCACATAGCAGGCAAAATATTTGTATAATAAACTGCTTTTGAGAATACTTTGGAATCGTGCACATTTGGAACAATAGCGTTTATTCATTAACTTATTTTTGCATGAACATTATTTATATTGTCTATTTTAACTGCTATGTTTGCCCTGCACTGAGGCCTCCTCTTATAATACCATAACTTACCACCACTTAAATAATAAATCATATTCTTAGATTCTGAGCAATGATTACATTCATTTTGACAGTGATTTTAGTTCTTGAAGCTTAAATGCTGTGGTGCATAAAAAGGTAATTAAGTCTACCTTGCCTTCTTTGTGGACTGTTAACTACAAATAAAATTTTATGCTGGATTTTGAGTAAGTACATGATGCAATTTCTGTTTGCACCTGGAAGCATGAAAATTTTTTAAAAAGCAAATAAAGTGAAAAAGCAAAAATTGTGTTTTTGAAGGAACTATAACAATACCAAGAAATTTTTCCTATTCCTTCCATCTAATTGCTATTTGGAATAAAAAGTTCTATAATAATTTTTTTTCTAATAAAATGACCCAAACATACAATTAGAAGAAAATTATTTATTCATTGCAAAATTCGCCACATTTGTATTTATATGCTAGTGAACATAATACACCAGCATTCTTTAAAAAAAAAGTATGTCTACTTTTGTTCATATTCGAATTTTTTTCATTTCTCCACAAAAGGCGCACCTCTCCAGCACACACTAAACATCATCTAAAAAAATGAACTGGTGTCTTAATCTTATGATGTCTGAGGTTGATAAACCAAAAAAATGTGAGAGTTAATTATTGAAATTAATTACTGATGTTAAAAACTAGTCATATTTTTAATAAACAGCTTTCAATAAAAATGCATTTCTTTATTTTTCCCCATTTTGATAGTTTCACCTCTCATATACAAGTTCGATATTTCATTTTTTTTCTTCTTATATTGTTTACTTTGCCACACAGACTAGAAAATTAGAACAAATACAGTAATTAAACAGTGTAAGATTATATTCTCTGAGTCTATAATAACTTAAATAACTTCCAAAAAAAGTGCTTTTGTTTGGAAGATGATAGCATAAGAATATAAACTTAAATGTTTTGCTGACATAACTCTAATCAAAGATGTTTATGGTGAGGGTCATTCACTTTATCTTCCTAAAACAAGGAAACAAAGATCAATAACAAATATCAGCAATTGACCATTTTCTATAAAAAAACATTAATATATTTCACTGGAAGCATATAAACTGTTCACTTTTCTGGATGAATCACTCATGTTTTATACAACTTTTAGATGCCCTCTTTCTTGACTTGTATCTATTCTACATTTCTTTTGACAGCTACTCTATCACATGTACTTACACAACTTTTACAACATAAAAGTTGTGAACTTGGCATTTGTTTTCATATATAAAATCACTGACAATTCCAAATCTAAGCCCCTAAAGCAAAGAAGGAAGCTCATAGGGTTATGGCCCTCATTCAATTAAGGGATATAGGAATTTTAGTTGTATAGCCGCCATATTGATTTTGAAGAAAAAGTAAATACATAAATAAAATCTGGGTTAAGTTAAATATTTATATGCACCATGAGGACCATGACATGTCTAGTGCTAGTCAATATCATACAAGAAAATGCATGCTCATTTCAGTTCACGTAATATTCACTTTAGGAGTGAGTAACACCTTCCTCGGGAATTTCCATGGGTAAAGCACAGGTTCTTTGCTCAAAATTTGATCACTGAAGACAGACCATTCTTTCCTGGAAGCCTAAGCCCCAAGGAAGAGAACATTATGACTCTGGCAACTGATTCCTCCTGTTTCTGCTTTTCCGGCTATTGATGAGCGCTTTTAACTTGCCATAGTCCCCTCTTATCTTCTGTGACTCTTCGTGTTGATGATGCTGCCGAGTGTCTTTGCAGTACTGATTAATCATCTGCATTTCTGAGTGGCTAAATGCCCCCATGATGTCCTTTGTGTGGAAAGGTAAAGCCCTCACAGAGCTGGCCCAGGTCCATGGGGACCATTTGTCTGTCACGACAGCCACCATTTCAGAATCTAAAACTTTAAAGTTGATCTTGGCTATGGTCTGCTTGAAGCTGTTTTCTGTTGCAATGCAGTGATACAGTCCTTGGTCAGAATCTTGAACGGAGCGGATTAGAAGTCCTTGTGAAGTGGCTATGATTCGTTCATTCAACTTGACCTAAAAGAGAGACTTGTCAAAGACCCAAAATCTGACTCTATGTCTTCTAAAAAGATATGAGCAACACATACAGAATATCTCTGAACTTTCAAATTTGGCAAAAGCATTGAGTACTGATTAGTTCCCCTCTTAGTGAACACAAATTTTTGGCCTGTTCCATTGACTGGTTTGCAGAGGAGATCTCGTTTTAAGAGCACTGAATCTATTAAAGAGAGGGTGAAGTTATCACCCATGCTGCCAAATATACCTTAACCATTCCCTTTGGACATGGCTTCTGCACATATAAACATAGTTTGGGTTGCATTCGGAATGTGAATCACAGTCAACATATATAAACAAAATTCATGGATAATTTAAAATATCTATTTTGTCCTGGAGCTCTTGCCTTTAATTGCAACAAAAAAGCTCTTTTACTAGTAAAATCATGAAGCCACAGTTAAATGGTCGAATTTTACCATTTTTTCAATGATGAATGGATATTCTCCTAAATAAAAATTGAAATAATTCATTACTTTATTAAAGAAGTAAGACAATTCGAAAAAAATCGTATAAACAGAGGCAGAGTTCTATAAACTATCAAAGGTTTTTCCTATTATCCCAAGCTAAAGAATAACTAAAAATAAGCTGACATGCCATCATCTTCCAAATCTTCTGAGTGGTTTTACTTTCCAAGGAAAGGTAATAAAAAGCTATGAGGTTAATATTTAATTATTTTACAGCCTTATCCTGGAAAAACTATCATATGCTGGATATTAGTTACATGCATGAAATCCATCTTTCTTAAAGTTCCAGTTATAGTACTATCCACAAACAGACTAAAAACCTAAGTGGTGAGAAGTTCCTTGCCAAGGGTGGGTACTCTGGAATGCTCTTTCACTGAGGGGGGAAAAAACAGACCCGAATCAAAATAAGGGAAGATGGAAGATGTTTTTATAAATGGTAAATTTCTGTGTAAATATGAATCTAATTATTAATGAAACAAAATCAAAGATAGATTGTTTTAATTTTTTTTATGATAGTCACAGAGAGAGAGAGAGAGAGAGAGAGAGAGAGAGGCAGAGACACAGGCAGAGGGAGAAGCAGGCTCCATGCACCGGGAGCCCGATGTGGGATTCGATCCCGGGCCTCCAGGATCGCGCCCTGGGCCAAAGGCAGGCGCCAAACCGCTGCGCCACCCAGGGATACCCAGATAGATTGTTTTAAATGAAAAGTAACCCCTCCGCAAAAGCACAAAAAGGCAAAGTACAGTATTGAGATACAGATAATAGACCAGATCTAGAAAAGGGAATTCAGAAAGAGGGACTCAAATATATGAGGCAAAGTTTTGGTGTTAATTTGACTTTTAAAGTTTAAGTGTGCCTCAACAATAGTTTCAATCATGTAGAAATGCATTCAGAAACAAAAGGAAGGAAGGCTTTTCTATTTGTGCAAGATTAGGAAAGATTTTGGAGACCAGGTTTACAAATCCATCTAACACATATATAGTACTTGACACAAAATTTCATTTCTGGGAATTTGTACAGAAGCTATACTCAGAAGTGTGCAAATGTTCATTTACATGATGTTTTTGATAAGAAGAAAAACAACAACCTTAAGCAGTAGATGGCTTAAAAAAACAAGATATATTCATAGAGTGGAACACTATGTAGCCAAGAAAAATGTTAGCTCTCTATATACTGATATATATACTGATATTAAAGTGTATGTGTGTACATCAGAGAGAGAGACAAAGACAAAAATAGGAAAATTATAGAGACTATTTGGAGGAATACATTATGATTGAATATATAATTCTTAATAGCTCTATACTCTAGGAAGTATGAGTAAATATTGAAGTGGAGGTGAGATCTTTTAGTTTTCACTTTATGTAAATCAGTATGAAGTATTTACATTTTTGTCTGTGAGCTTTTACCATCTGTCTTATAGTTTTTTTAAAGTTCAATATTTGCATATCATTAACATGAGAAATGAGCATGTGTTTGCCTAAACTACTAAGTACAAATTAGGATAAATTTAATAAGATGGTAATAATTTGTTCAACTAAATTTAGAATGAGTGGAATTGTGTTCTCTAAATTCTGGATAAGTAGATTCACAGAGTTGTATTACAGTTAATTTTTCCATAGTCTTTTTTTTTTTAACGATAGTCATACAGAGAGAGAGAGAGGCAGAGACACAGGCAGAGGGAGAAGCAGGCTCCATGCACTGGGAGCCTGACATGGGATTCAATCCCGGGTCTCCAGGATCGCGCCCTGGGCCAAAGGCAGGCGCCAAACTGCTGTGCCACCCAGGGATCCCAATTTTTCCATAGTCTTACAGCATTATTATATGTTCAAAATTGGGAGAAAAAGCAAGACAGTAATAATTGAGTCTCTACCTTCTCGAGCATTCTGAAATAAAACACTAGAAATATTGCAAAGGAGATTCAATCATTAAATCTATTACTCATTCCATTTTTAACTGCGTTTATTAACTTCTGTGGCATGTATTCAAGCTTGTGTGTCCTCATTGTCTGTAATTCAAATAATAGAAAATACATTCACTTATTGCATGTTATTCTATTTAACTTTTTAGTGAATTAAAGAAAAACATTTTCTTCGTGTTACGTAATCCCTGTTTGAGTTTTAGATTTCCAACTCACATATGAACACACAGAACTCCTCAGGAAGGAGTTCTGGAAGGAGCTCTGGCATATGGCCTATCATATCTGTATGATAATCATCATCGCACATTATGACTTCTACCCTAGGTTACTTTGTAAGGCAACTATGATTACCATTTACATCCATGCCAAAGAGTTGAAAATTAATTGGACTGTAGAAATTTCAAGGCCTCTTTGATGACAGATTCTTGTGGCAAAGAAAACAGATCTCAAATAAACAATAATTTGTTCTTAATAAAAAATGTTTTAAAAGATGTTTTTAGTATCATAGAATTCTGGGCCAAGAAGGGGCCCTGAAGTTCAGCTAGCTCCTCTTTCCTCCCAATGGTTCCATCTCTTATTGAAGGGGTCATCAGCCTATGGTTTTATATTCTAGTGATGGGGGACACACAATTTCCTAAACAGCTCATACTGTCTTCAAACAGACAGGTCTAAATTGTAAAGTATTTTCTCATATGGAGCCAACATGCACTTCAGCAACTTTGATGCAGTGTCTGTGTTCTATAGCTTGGGATTGTATCCATTGTAAATATCCCCAAAATATTATTTAATATGTAGTCCCCAAAATGCCCACAACTGAAGAATATACCCTAATGCAGAAGGCGGCTTTGCTCCATCAGACTTTATGCCACTCCTAATAGCATCACATCTCAGACTACCCTAAGGCTTTATACATACATATAGATTTTCCTTCTTCTTTCTCAGGTTGTCAGTACAACCTGACATCAACATTATGGAGTTCATTATTTATAATATTTCACCCAATGCCATTTTACAATGCTTCCCCTTTAAAACAGCCCTTTCTGATCAGTGGAAAGGTTAATGTCAGTGTCCTTTTATTTGAAAAACTGTTTTTCCATATCACTGAATAAAGTCAATGGTCCCATAAACAATGATTCCATATATTACCTAACCAAAACCCTAGAGTAATGGATAATAAAGCAGAGGAAACAGATTACCACATAGCAGAAATATGCTCTTTAACCATAAAAGTTATGGTTTAGTGTAATTTCTTGCTGAGGAAAATTGAACTTTTTTTAAAGCCCCCTTTTATCTTGTGAATCACACAAAGGTGCTGCTGTGCGAGAACTTGGCTTCTGGTTTTGCACACATCTTGTTTCTTTTACAAATGCTTCCTCCTATCAATAGACCCGTCTGGAGTGTCCAAGCTCTTGTTTCAATCACCGTGTTACAGAGGTGAAGAGGCAGCAAGGATTTTGAATTAATTCATCAGCTTTACAGACAAAGGATTTTAAAGAAAGTGGCACTCGTCATCCCAAAGACATGAAAAGATGTTCATATGCTTTTTTTTTTTTTTATGTTTGATCTGAACCTCACCAAGGGATGGTGATTCAATGTCTTTCCAAAGCCCTGATTGATTGCTGCTTATGTGTGTTACTCACCTCTTTCCTCCTATCTTTGTCTTTCTGTAACAGCCACTTGATAGATGCCTGTGGAGACTTAGGAGCACACTCGAGGAAAGTGGTGTTATTTTTTACTCCATACTGAACAATTTCAGCTGCATTTCTATATGCTGGAAAGCAAAAAGTAGAAAGAGGGAGAAGAGAATTTAGAATATATTCTCTTATATGAATGCTTATTTCTCTATAAAATTATCATCACCTAAAGAAGTCCCCCCCAAAGGCAATCTTTGCTCATTTAACAAGCAGACGATTACGCATTGTTTACTGGTTGTGTTTAACCTAAAGGGAAAGGAGAGAAAGACACAGGGAATTGATGTTTATTCAAGAGGTACTCTATACCAAAGACTGTCCTTAACATCACATTGAACATTTAATTATTACAATATCCTTACAAATTAGTTTTTCTCTGCTTTTCAGAGCTGAACAAACTGAGGCTGTGAACTATTAGGATATATACCCTACTTGAAGAGTTAGTAAGTGCCAGGCATTATAAAACCAGGTTCATCCATACTCAATGTAGTATAGATGGAATTCAGAAGCATCAGGAAAAGTCAGAAAGCAAAGTGTGGCTGTAGCGGGAAGTAGTGGTTGAGAACACAGTCTTTGGAATCAGAGGTATTGGAGGCAAAATTCTGACTTCACCAATACTGGCTGTGTAACCTTAAATAATTTACTTGAGCTTTCTGTGTCTCAGCTTTACTTGGCTCTAAAACATGGATTATGTCTTCATCCAGGTTCTTTACTGAAATTCTTAATTCAGGAAGATCATTTAGTATAATCATGTGGTTGCTTAGACGTGAACAGAATCTTCATTCATAAAATGGGGATAGATAATAGACCTGACTTTAGTACAATGTCTTAAGCATTTAAATAAGATAATCCATTAAAAAAAGCACTTAACTCGGGTTCCTTTTTTTTTTTTTTAACTCAGGTTCTGACACAAAGTCAACATCCATGTTTGTCCATCATCACCCCCACTGACAGCTCTACTACTATAGCTACTAGTGTTAGTAGAACTTGCACACATATTTACAAAATATTCAGTAAACATAGAAATGGTAACCTGGATTATTCTCTTAATTAGATGCATGGAATTAAGCAAGATGTTACAATTTTCTCCTTATAGTGAGTGTAGTTGGTAATGATTGTCAGTCTTTATTAAAGAAAGACCCAGACTCAAACATATTAGCAATAGCAGTCTTGGTGTTAATTATTAGCAACAGTGCATTTGTAGCTCCTTCATGAACTCAGAGAGCTCTGCCCAAAGATACTTTGTTGGTGGGGTTGAGGTGGAGGGGAGAATATTAGTGGGGAAAGTATAATAATGTGGGATTTTCATGTCAGGATGGGAAGAAATGGGTTAGATTGTAAGACACAAGGCAAGATTGTCAAAAGTATTGCAATGGTTATAAATCATAAAACCCGGGCACTGTAATACACCCATGTTCAGAGCAGGATTATTTACTGTAGCCCAAAGTAGAAGCAATCCAAGTGTCTAGTGGTAGATGAATGAATAAACAAAGTGTGATATATACAAACAATAGAATGTTTTCCCATTTTCAACAGAAAAGAAATCCTGACACATGTTACAACTGGAATGAACCCCAAAGAAGCTCTGAAATAAGCCCGTTACAAAAGGATAAATATTGTGTGATTCCATTGATAAGAGAGAGGTATTTAGAGTAGTCCAATTCATAGAGACAGAAAGTAGAATGGTGGTGTCCAGAGGCTGGGGAAGACGGAGTTAGTATTTAATGGGTATAGTTTCACTTGGGAAACATGAAGAGGTTCTAGAGATGAATGGTTGTACTGATTGCACAACAATGTGGATGTACTTAATGCCACAGAACTGGACATTTTAAAACTGTTAAAATGGTAAACTTTGGGTTGTTTATATTTACAATAACAAAAAAACAAGGCACAATTCTATTTGTTCTTCAGTAGTAAATTTTTGAAAAAGCACATTTTTTTCTTAAGAAAGAAAATAGCTTTGTTTCTTCAAAAAGAAAATAATAGTTAGGAAAATCTATAACTGACATCTACATGAAAGACCGAGGCAACTAACATATCCAAGGTATCTGTATTCACAGACATTTGTTTTTCCTACTATATATACAAATAACATTTAATTTTTAATTTCCATATGAACACCAAGAATCTTCACAGTGAATCTTTCTTTAAAACATAAGATGTGAATTTATTATGAGGTTTCCCTCCCTTAAATGTGATGTGGAGCATGGCTACTCTTTACCAAGTCTGAGCCTTGCTCAGTCTTAATACCTTTTAGATTAAATCCTCTGCATTGAGTCAATGGATTTCCATGTCTCACGTCTTGTCTTCGGCTCCTCCTATAGGTACAGAGACATATATAAAACTGGCTCAGAATTAACATCGCCAATTACACCACAGTTAAAAGATTATATTTTTAATTTTACAGTTTTTTAATTGCTTAAGGTTTCAGAAGGAAAGGAGGTCTGATATATAACACAACTATCTGGCACTTCTTGTTCAAGACTTCCATGATAGGATGGGTATTTCACCTTGTTTTCATTCTGAATTAATTCTGTCCCTCCCTATCTCTACTACTGGAGATAGAATGCCTATGAAATTCCTATTATGTGCATTTCTGGGGTAAATGCTAGATTCCAAATTAACAGTGTAAATTTTAGTTCAGAGATATTCAGCAAAAACTTTCTAAGATGGAAATATCTAGAGCATAAACTCACTACCATCTTCTTTCTTAAAATTTTTTTCTTTTTTTTTTTAAATTTTTTTTAATTTTTTTATTTAGTTATGATAGTCACAGAGAGAGAGAGAGAGGCAGAGACACAGGCAGAGGGAGAAGCAGGCTCCATGCACCGGAAGCCCGACGTGGGATTCGATCCCGGGTTTCCAGGATCGCGCCCTGGGCCAAAGGCAGGCGCCAAACCGCTGCACCACCGAGGGATCCCTTAAAATTTTTTTCTTAAACAAACCTAGCTTTCTTACAAAAGTCAACATTTCCTAACATTTTCCTAATATATTAAAACTTTTATGAAATAAGTGATAGAATATGGACATTTAATATAAAGTTAAGCAAAATTGTTCATTTACTAGAATAAGAATTTTCCTTCAATTTTTTTACTATGAAAAATACCAAGCCTACAGAAGGAGTGGAAACATGAGTACAATACTGAGATTCATAAAGTGTTAAAGTTTGCCACGTTTATTTTTTCTCTCACATGCAAGTATTATGTTGAGTATATATATAGAATATTTATACTCTTTATTCACATGTATGAAAATCTTTAGAAGATAAGTTGCAGACATGATAATACTTCATTCTTAAATACTTCAGCATGAACCTTCTAATTTCTCTACATAAAGACAGTATCACTCTCTCACTAAATATGACGATTTGGTAATATCACACAATACATATTTTATATTAAAATTCTCTTAATTAGGGATCCCTGGGTGGCCCAGCGGTTTGGCGCCTGCCTTTGGCCCAGGGCGCGATCCTGGAGACCTGGGATCGAATCCCACGTCGGGCTCCTGGTGCATGGAGCCTGCTTCTCCCTCTGCCTGTGTCTCTGCCTCTCTCTCTCCCTCTCTCTCTCTGTGTGACTATCATAAATAAAAAAAAAATTAAAAAAAAGAGAAAGTTTAAAAAAAATTCCCTTAATTACCTCTGAAATATCCCTCATGGATTTTTAAAAGTTTATTTGGGATTGAAAGTCACTCACTGCATTTTAGTTGGTATGTATCACCAAGTTAAGCATTTCAAAATTTAGTTATAGTCTTTGTAAGTTGGTCATTATTTAAAACAAACTTTTAAATTATTTGAATACTAATTAATTTCTGAGTCTTAAATTAAAAAAAAATATATATATATGTTACTCTTGTATGACACAGTGAAACAAATCAAAACAGAGCAACTGAAATTCTCTTAGCAATAAATCATAGATATGAAGATTGCTATAAGAGAGAAGGAAAAATGAGGTGCTTGGGTGGCTCAGTCAGTTGACCTTCTAACTCTTGGTTTTGGCTCAGGTCATGGTCTCCCCATGGTAATATCAATCCCTGTGGCACAGTTTGGAGTTCGCTTCAGATTCCCTCCCCCTCTGTCCCTCCCCAAGTCATGCACACACTCACTCTCTAAATAAATAAATAAATAAATAAATAAATAAATAAATAAATAAATAAATAAAGTCTTTAAAAAAGAGAGAGAAGGAAAAGATCCTCTCCTTAAATATTGAGAATATAGGGATAAATTGTTTATTATCAAGGCTGAGAAGTATATATAAATAAGTATATTGCTTAATTGGGCTAGCTGTTAAGTCTCAACATTTTTCCCCTTACAGATAAATTAAAATATTCAGTAAGAAAAGCAGAAATATTAAAACCACACAGGAATTATCTAATTTACAAAGGGAAACTAATCTCAAAGTCATCAAGAGTGAAAAAAAAATCATTTTAAGGTCATAGCAAATAGTATTGCGTGTATTCAATGGCTTATATACATACATCTATTTATGGAAATAGCAGTATAAAATTCCGTGTCATTTACGTATTATTTTCCCAAAAAAGTCACATAATCCTTATTCGATCTTATATTTCTAATACAACACACACACAAACTAGTGGAAGTTACTCCTGTCTCAGGAAATACAATTAATGCTGTACTCTAGAACAGCTCCTATATCAATCAGGTTTTTACTGCATTGCATTTGCTATATTTCCAAGCCACAGCATTATTTACTACCAATCAACTTGTGAGTGCACTATATCTTTGAACACCACATGAGAGTTCTTGTGGCTGAAGCAGTCACTTTCCAGCCATCCAGAGAAGCACTATCATTCCCAATGGCTAAATTGATTGTCCTGTGACCAGCACTATGTTATAGTTTACATAGCTGGGCAACCTGAATTTACTGTATCACACAGCTTCCAGACCTTCCAATACAGAAAAACATTATGGCTTGGCCTAAATGATGAGAGCAGCAAGACAGCTATCTGAGATTTTTTGTATTTGTTGATTCCCTTTAGGATATTCATCTACCACCTTGAAAGCTGGTATGCACAGTAATATTATATTGCATGTAGAATTTGCGATTTGAGCTCAAGTTACCAACATTTTCTTCCTTATGGTATATAATCTTTTGGATAAACAATGAAGTCATTTTGTTCTTGTATATAAAACAGATATTTACTTGAAAATTGAACTGATTATCTTGTCTCAGAATAAAATTTAAAAATGTGCATCTGAATCCAGGAAAAATACCATTTGAGATTAAACTGCAATATTTGGTACAAATGCACAAATATTTAAGATACTTGAGAATGAAAAGGAAAATTGCTTGGATTATTTGCTATAAACAAAATTAAAAAAAAAAAAGAGAAACCACTGAGTCAATGATATTTAACAACTTTATTATATCAAAGCATAAACTCATTGATTTCCAAGTATCACTGTAATTCTGTTACCATACAAAGAACATGTTTTTGGTTTTCTTTTTTTAAAAGATTTTATTTATTTATTCATAGAAAGAGAGAGAGAGAGAGAAAGAGAGAGAGAGAGAGAGAGAGAGAGAGAGAGAGAGAGCAGAGGCACAGGCAGAGGGAGAAGCAGGCTCCATGCAGGGAGCCTGACATGGGACTCGATCCAGGGTCCCCAGGATCACACCCCAGGCTGCAGGCGGCGCTAAACTGCTGCGCCACCAGGGATGCCCTGTTTTTGGTTTTCATTCCAATGAATTCCTCCAGGTACTCTTTGTGTTCCAGATAGATAGACAGTGCTATCAACATAAAACTAGGTAAGTTAACACTATTAAAGAAAATCAGTGTGGAAAATACAAGCAATTTTTTATTATTATTGTTTAATCATTCAAAATATTATATATGAGAATTTAGGAAATAATTCAGCAAACATGTTTTACATTCACTATATGTTTAGGTTTTAAAATAATTTGTAGAAATTAAATATTATAAATATTTGTAATGAAACTTTCAATGTGATGGCCAAAGATGGGTGTGAATAGGCCACAAATAAGATAGATGACAGATAGATGATGGATAGATAGATAGATGATTGATAGATTATAGATAGAAGATAGATGATAAGTAAATAGAAAGATAGAACAGAGATTTTTCAGCTTTTTATGATAGAATTAAGATACTGCTAGAGATTCAGATTGCACTTTAAATGATAACTGCCTCCTCTTTCAACCCATGTTATTTTTTCCCTGCTTATGCTTTTTTAAATTTCAGGTTTACAACATAATGACAGGATACACCACCTGAAACTAACATAATATCATATATGTGAATTATTTCTCAATTAAAAATATACATTTATCAGTGAAATGACCACAGTAAGTCTAGATAACATCTGTCCCCATACATAGTCACAATCTTTTTTTCTTGTGAGTACTTTTAAGATCTACTCTATTATCAACTTTCAAATATGTAATACAGTCTTTATGCTGTACATTGCATACTCATGACTTAATTATTCTATAACTGGAAGCTTGTGCCTTTTGATCCCTTTTGTTCATTTCTCCCACCCCCTACCCCGCCTTTGGCCACCACAATCTCCATGAGCTCGGTTTGTTGTTACTTTTAAAATTCCACATATAAGTGAGATTATACAGAATATGTCTTTCTCTGACTTATTTCACTCAGCATACGCCCTCAAGGTCCTACAGATGGCATGATTTATTCCATTTTATGGTTGAATAGTATCCCGGTGTGTGTGTGTGTGTGTGTGTGTGTGTGTGTGTGTACCCTTACTCAGTCATCTGTTGAAGGACACAGTTGTTTCCATGTCTTCGGTATTGAAAATAATGCTGCAATGAACATGGGGGGTGCAGATATCTTTTCAAATTAGTGTTTTTGTCTTTTTTTCAGATACATACCCAGAAGCGGAATTGCTGAATCATACAGTAGTTCTATATTTAACTTTTTTTTAAAAAAGATTTTATTTATTTATTCATGAGAGACAGAGAGAGAGGCAGAGACACAGGCAGAGGGAGAAGCAGGCTCCATGCAGGGAGCTGGACATGGGACTCGATCCCAGGTCTCCAGGATTACGCCCTGGCCTGAAGGCGGTGCTAAACCGCTGCCCACCCAGGGATCCCCTATATTTAACTTTGTGAGGAACCTCCATACTGTTTTTCATAGTGGCTGCACCAAGTTTTCTCACCAAAACTTTTTCCACATCCTCTCCAAAATTTATGACTTGTATTTTCTCTTTGCTCTGTGGTCATACCTAAAAACTTATTATCAAGACCTACATCAAGGAGGTTAATGCCTATGTTTTCTTCTAAGGAGTTTTATGGTTTCAGGTCTTACATTCAAGTCTTTAAAACATTTCGAGTTAAGTTTTGCCAATAATGTAAGATAATAGTCTAGTTTCTTTCTTTTGCATGTGGCTGTTCAGTTTTCCCAGCATCATTTCTTGAAGAGACTGTCCTTCCCTGTTGTACATTTTTGCCTTTTTTGTTGTAAATTATTTGACCATATATGTATGGATTTATTTCTGGGCTCTCAAATCTGCTCTGTTGATCTATGTGTCTGTTTTTATGACAATAGCATACTGTTTTGATTATTATAACTTTGTAATATAGTTTGAAATCAAGGTCCCTGATGCTTCCAGCTTTGTTCTTCTTCCTCAATATTGCTTTGGTTATATTGTGATTCCATACAAATTTTAGGATGTTCTAATCCAGTAGAAAATGTCATTAGAGTTTTGGTGGGGATTGTATTGAATCTGCAGGTTGCTTTGGGTAGTATGGCCATTATAGAAATACTCATTTTACTACTCCATGAATGTTATTTATCTTTCCATTTATTTGCGTCTTCAATTTCATCAATGTTTTGTAGTTCCAGTGTACAGGTCTTTCACCTCCTTGGTTAAATTTATTCCTAGGTATTTTATTCTCTTGATGCAATTGTAAATGGGATTGTTTTCTTAAATTCTCTTTCTGATAGCTCATTATTCATGTATAGAAATCCAACAGATTTTTGTGTACTCACTTTGTACCCTGCAACATCACTGAATTCATTTATTAGTTCTAACACCAAGCCAATGATACTTAGTTCCATACAAGGCATGATATTTCATAGTTTCAGCTGATTTTTCAGTTGATTGTAAGAATGTGATTAAGATCATGATTTGTAGGGAAGCCTGGATGGCTCAGTGGTTTAGTGCCTGCCTTCAACCCAGGGCGTGATCCTGGAGACCCGAGATCGAGTCCCACGTCGGGCTCCCTGCATGGAGCCTGCTTCTCCCTCTGCCTCTCTCTCTCTCTCTCTCTCTCTCTCTCTCACTCTCACTCTCACTCTCACTCTGTGTCTCTCATGAATAAATAAATAAAATCTTTAAAAAAATCGTGATCTGTAAAAAAAAAATCATGATTTGTGGCATTAGGATGACAATGTGAAATCTACCTTTATTGTTTTTTAAGATTTTATTTATTTATTCATGAGAGACACAGAGAGAGAGAGAGAGAGAGAGAGAGAGAGAGAGAGAGGCAGAGACACAGGCAGAGGGAGAAGCAGGCTCTACGCAGGGAGCCCAATGTGGGACTCGATCTCGGGACTCCAGGATCACATCCTGGAATGAAGGTAGGCGCTAAACCAACCAGGGGTCCCCTGGAATCTACCTTTAAATATGCATATTAGAAAGGATAACTGGGCTTGTAGTTAGAGGGAGACTATGAGGACAAATGAGTCAACTCATATTTTAGCAGAAATGTCTAAAACGTAAAAAAAATCTCAAATATGCAATGATAGTCTATATATAGTAGGGAATTTTACTTGAGAAATATTCTTTGTTTGTTGAATAAAAATGCTTGTTCACCAAAGCCAAGGTCTGGAAGTTCTGCAGGGAAGGAGTACTAATCTCCAATTCCTCCACGTTCTAGAAGAGGCTGGTAAGCCTAAAGGACCGTGGCAGTGTTCACTCTGTGATGTTCATATCACTTTCTTTCTTAGAAAGTGTGGTGCTTTGGCTGCGTTTAGCATTAAATCTGTTTAACAGATAGAATATTGCATTCCGGGTGTTAGATATGCCAACTTTTAGAACTCTTTCCCAAGAAAAATGTGTAGCCTTACAAGCAGTTATGGTAATAATCTGTAAATATCACTGCTGTTGTAATTAGGAGCGTAACACGACTATGGTTAAAAGTTGCCAGCAATGGCTACAAAAATCATTTAGTTGAGATTACATTTGGAATTTCCTTCCCTCATCCTTTGTGTCCAGGTTCAGATCTCCAGTGCAAGCAAAAGATCTCAGGGTAACGAGGTCCATAAATTTTATGTGAAAATCAAAAGAGCCTCTAGACTTCCTGCCTAGATCTTAAAATGACAAAGAAGGACATGAATCTTTGAACACAGATACTAAAAAATACTGTTTTAAAGAATGTGAGTTCTCTGCACATTTCATGTCTTTAAAAACAAAAAGACTTTCGAATTATCCAGCCCAGGCTGCACCTGTGTGCTCCAAATTCACATTTCTGTTTACTCAACCTCCCCACTTGAATGTCTACCTCACGGGCACTGTTGGCATCATCTTTCCCTCCACGTACCTGCTCCTCGCACAGTCTTACCTTTCTCAGGAAGTCACATCTGCATATGCTCGGTTCTGAGAACTTGGCTCATGCCTGAGTCCGCTATTTCTCTAACGTCCTACACGTAATACACCAGCACATTCTGTGAGCTCCCTCCGGGGTCAGACCACTCACGTTGCCACCTCCACCTCTGCCTTCCTGTGCGAGCCGTCCTACCTCACCTGGAACGTGCAATGCCCTCACTGCCTTGCGACTCCTCTCTCCTCTCTCCTCAGCCACTTCCTACCCCAGGGCTGCCATCTAGGCCAAACCAAACCAGATGGGCTTCTCAAAACCAAAGTCAAATCATATCACTCATGTGCTCAAAGGCCCTCAGTAGTTTTCCATTTCACTCTAAATAAAAGCCTTCAGGGAGGCCTGGGTGGCTCAGCGGTTGAGCGTCAGTCTTTGGCCCAGGGTGTGATCCCGGCTTTCCGAGATCGAGTCCCGCATCAGGCTCCCTGTGAGGAGCCTGCTTCTCTCTCTGCCTCTGTCTCTGCCTCTCCCTCTGTCTCTCATGAATAAATAAATAAAATCTTAAAAAAAAAAAAAGCCTTCAATGACTTACTAAGTCCTAAGTCAACTGTCATTCTGACCTCATTTCTTCCTTCCCTTTTTTTTTCTCATTCCATGACAGCTCCTATAGTCTTGGTGATGTTTCTTGAACAATCTTGACACACTCCACACTCCGGCTTTAAGGACTGCTGGTTCTTTTCTCTGGAATGTTATTCTCCAGTTAATGCCTTGGTGCCATTCCTCATCACGCTCAAGTCCTTGTTCAAATATCACACCCTCAGAAGGACCTCCCCTGGCCAACCCATTTACCATTGCCATTCCCTGCTTCCCAGCATCCCCTATGTCCCTTCTTTACCCTTTATAAAATTCATAGAGTTTATCATTATTTCATATACTAGGTTTCCTTATTTATTTATTTTCTGTCTTCTCCCTCTAGAATTTATTATCCCTCGGGGTAGGAATTTTTTGTCTTTTTGTGGATATTTTTCTTTTTTCTTTTTCTTTTTTTTTTTTTTTTGATATTTTTCATGTTATATGCCTAGCTCTATCTAGAACATTGCCTGGCAAATAATTGTCCCATGATAAAAAACTGTTGAACTTATAGATAAAAGTACCAGAACAATCTTGACATGCAGAAGTGCTACGGTTGCTTTAATCTGTCAAGGTCCTTAAAGGCCAATATCTCTAACAGAGCATAAAGAAGCTATAAACACCATCACCCTCGTGATTTTATTTGAAAATCAGTAGTGCTTCTGGCTGGTCCTATTTGCCTTCTCCTGTGGATTCTAATTTTGTTAGGTTTCGGCCCTGCCAGCCGCCATGACTGTAGATGGCTGAGTCTGGCTGTGATCCTGGCTGCCCCTAAAGTCTGCATTTCCTTTGTTCTATAATCTGTGTCACTACTGGTGGTCCCTTCCAATTGGTGGAAGTTGGTTCAGAGTTTCTCATCTAAATCTTTGCTTGAATAAAGGGCACTCAGCCTCAGGCTGCCTTACTCTCAATCTGACCAGCAAATAAGCCCTCACCATTTTAACAAGCAAGAGCGTGTCATCGAGGTTCTGAAAGCAATTCAGCCTACCTATTTTGGAGCAATGTTCCAGTTGCCTGAACTAGGACAAACACCTGAATATAGGAGAATTAAATGGCGCAGGGAAACCCTAGGAAGGCAGGATTTAATGAGATATAGAAGCATTTAAAAAGGGATCCCTGGGTGGCGCAGCGGTTTGGCACCTGCCTTTGGCCCAGGGTGCGATCCTGGAGACCTGGGATCGAATCCCACATCGGGCTCCCGGTGCATGGAGCCTGCTTCTCCCTCTGGCTGTGTCTCTGCCTCTCTCTCTCTCTGTGTGTGTGACTATCATAAATAAATAAAATTAAAAAAAAATAAAATGTTTAGAAGCATTTAAAAAAATCAGGCAATGTGAAGAATGTTAAATGCTGCTTGAAATATTTGATGGGTCACAGGGGGGAGTTGTGTTGCTAGAGAAGCTTTAAGAGGAGAAACCAATTTTTTGAAAGTACAGTATTCCCACATATCTGTGAGAATCTCAAGTTCTAAAGCACAGCCATTTACTTCATTCAATGACTACACATGATGCTAAATAAATCTACTACTTCTAGCACCATTTTTAAAGAGTACTGCAATAGAATTTTTTTTTTCTTTCTAATATTGTGGAGCCCTGCTCGATTGTCTGGTGACATCAATTTTGATTTTCAGCTGAATGTTTGGTACTCACCGCTTTCCAGTTGGGTAGAACCTAGAGCAAGAATGGCCATCCCAGGCACAGTAAGGGTCCCTTGCCAGGCAGCAGTCAGCACAGGCTGTACCGTAGATGTGGCATCGATGCAGAGACACTTGGGAAACCCCTTCATTGGAGCTCACATACAACTGTTGCTGTTGGAGGAATGATTATGATTTATTTCAGATGTGGACATTAAAAGAGGACTTTCAGCAGGAACACATTGTAATATATGTCTACACACTCTTAGATTCATTTTAAAATGGACTAAAAACAAGAAGCAAAGTACAAAGGGTATGAAAGCCAAAATAAATAGAATTTCCTAATGTTAATATGCCTATAATATTACCACTTTCCTGTTAAAAAAAATATTGGAGCCCTATGTAGAATGGCAATACATTTGAGACAGTGGGATTTATTGTTCTCTCAGATTTGAGCTAATATATTACAGATTTAAATTATGATGTTTGCTTTATTTTCTGAATGCACAAGGCAGCTTTCTTTTTCTTCAAATTTGGCAACCCACCACCCTGTACATTTGAAAAAGTCAAGTCTTAAATAAAGGGCATTTTTAAGTTTAGAAAAAAAGGCACACTGTTAGTATTAGGTAAATTAAAAAAACATTTTTCACATGCCTTTGAAAGTGACATATTACTCATTAGAGTAATTTTTAAATTACTTAGAAGAATATCTGTATTTATATTTAGGCATGTCTTAAACTTTCTGCGTGATCAAGTGGTCTTCAGCATCCTAAGTCATAATAAAGATTTCACTCTCTTTCATTTGTAGAGTATCAAGAACTTCTTATGATACTGCTCCAATTCTCTTATCCATGCTTAGATTGGTTCTCAGGAGTTGAAAGGATAAGTTTCTAACTGATGCTTATTTTAGAAAGAAGTGATACTGTATAATTCAGGTTAGTGAAGAATCTCTTAGCTGGAACTTGAATATATTCACATGTGCACACACAAACACAGAGACATCTATACATATTCACCTATATACAACTTAAAATTCAAATGAATACGAGCACCATTGGTCCACCGGGTTCTGGAGGCAGACTTCTGGCATTCCCAGCTCAATATGCTGTGTAACTTTTCTGAATCTCAGCTTCCTCTTTGGTGAAACTGGGATAATGTAGTACCTACCCCACTGAGTTGTTTTAAGAACTAAATGTAAGGGCTAACTCCACATTAAACGCTTAGAATAGTTTCTGACTCCTAAACACTCAATGAATGTTAAATAATATAGTAGAATAAATTACCAATTAACAAACTATCAGCTTATGCATTGCCAATTCTAATTAATCATTTGAATCACATCTCAGCCTACTGTTTAACAAAAAATATTTTATTCCGATCAATTAATTTTTCAGAAATTGGGCTGAAATTGGGCATTCAAACTATATTAAAAAAAACCCTGCACATTTTGACAATAATCATTTCTTTAGGAACATTTCTAATAAGTGTTTATTGAGTACATAAATAATATAATGAATGCATCATCTACATTAAATAAGGAATCTGTTATTTAAGGGAAGAAAACAGGTAATTTCACTCTAGAAATTACCTTTTATTAATCTAACTATTTTCTGCTGTATGGAATGCAAGAATAAATTAGGGAATAAAAAAGCATAAAATAGAAAATAAAATAATTTGAACACTAGGGAAGATACTAAATTCATGGCATTTAAATATACTTAGAATGCCACTGGCAATTTGTACTTCTTTCTCGCTGCAGGCATTATGTAGTATGCAGTTGTGCAAATGAGTTCCCCGAAACTCAAATAATTACCTACCTTGAATCTAATGATTGAAAGTAACATATTTAATTACAATATAAGTTGTTGAAGACAGATTTAATATTCAGGTTCTCCTGTGTGTATATGTGTGCTGCATATTGCAATTTAATGGAATGGATTATGAGCTCTGAGCATACCAGCTGGATTACAACTTGAATTGTGACATGTATCCCTGTAATCGTATACTGGACTACTCGGCCACACAAATGGCTCTGTCCATTTTTAATTTTGCTCCGATACTTTCTCTTTTCATTAAACTACTGTAAACAAGGAGCTTCCCTGCTGACTTCAAAGACTATTCTGACTTGGGATCAGTTCCCTAGGACATTGGGGGAAATGACGAATGGCTTCTTGTTACTTGGGAAAATGTTTGTTATGCACCATACAAACATTTTTACAGATGAGATCGTTAGCTCCATTGTACCCTATTTATTTTTCTTCATAAAATTGAGTCAAGTGAAAAGAGCACCAGACTGACTGTGGAATACTTCTTCATCTGTAACAGACCAAATAAGGTAAGGAACACTAACGTTATGTCATCAGTTGTGCTAACACTTAAAACCTTTATTCCATATTCCAAGAAAAATAAGTCTTGGGCTCTTTACACAGCAGTTACCAAGGACGTGCTTTATCCTAGGCAATTTATATAAATTAACTCATTTGTGAGAAAAGCATTACCTTGTAGAAGCAGAATCTTAGGTCAGTGAAATTTAAGGATTTATCCATAATTTATGGACAAGTCGGGATTCAAATGGATGTCCCTCCTGCTCTGAAGCCTACGACTCCACCCCTTAGAACTTTCTTCCAGAGAGAAGACCGTGGGGGCTGGAGAGGCATATGTGTTGCACAGGTAGAGATTGGGTTTAGGCTTTTCCTTTTTGTGATCCCTGTGTATTTGCATGTGCAGGCACGAATTAGAAGATGAAACATTTCTGATAATCATGGCCAAACATTTCTTCCCTCAAACCCGAATCCTTATAAGGCTTAGACTTGAGACATTCAGATTTTTTTTAATGACATGTATAAACTCTAAGAAATAGTACTTCCTTAGAAATAAGCATAAAAGAATGCATTGCACATTTCAAACATGTGAGAGCAACAGGAACTCAGAAGAAGACTGATTAGTCATTCCAAGCCCCTGAGAATGTTGGTGATGCTACAGCAGTAGGCCGAACATTACACCAAATTCTTCATTCAAAAAAGATCATTTTTATTTTGGTTGGCTTCACACACTGTAATATTTGAGAATATATGATATACAAAATGTTGGAAGATCTTACTGTATATATTTAAATATTCGGCTCTTCTGGTTTTTTTTTTTACAAAATAGACCTATTTTGTCTTCGATTAATAGCTTGTAAATTACGCATCAAAATTAAAGGTGACTTTGTGGTATATGGTAAGTCATATTAATTATTTTTCTAATACAAAAATCAATTTTTCTAAAATTACAAAATACATTTTTCATAATAGCAAAAATTTTCACAGGTAAAGGAAACAAAAATGCGGTTGTCTTACCTTTTTGGATGAAATTTTCATTGTTGTTATAGGAGCATGATTCTGAAAAATAAAAAAAAAAACATTGTTAGCTGTTCAAATAATCCTTTAAAAATATTTGCATTAAAAATGTTCTCTTTTCTGTTAAAATTCTGGAAATCGTCATGTCTCTATATATGCACATATACTTTCAAGGTTTAGCAATACTTGTCCCTAAAGTACATTTCCTCTGTTGGGAGTAAGGATGGCTTGTCATACAAATATATGCCCATTTGTTTCTTAAAGTAGTAATTATAACACATTATCAATACAGTTGTTAGGGAAAAAATGAAAACCTGAGAAATTTGGAAGAACTGAAAAAATTGTATCTCGGTATATGGAATCCAATGAATAAAACTTAAGCTTGGCTGGGGGTAAGATGCTGTGGAACGGACCCCAGGTTATGCCTCCACAACACAAGCACTATGCATAAAATGCTACCGTGCACCAGCCAAATGTTGCTTTGGAAAGATGTATTAGCCTGAATCACACTTATTAATTCTCCCGCTGCAAACAAAGAAATACTGTTAGAAAATGTCCTCTTTGATAAATGTGAATTAGTGAAAGCATCTATGAATTTTCTGAAATAGTGATCGTTTTTGAAAGTCACTCTATTCATAAACTTTACTTCTTAAATATTATTAGTTCCTTTAAAAAATCAGACTTGTGATAACCTGATCAAAACCTGTGAAGTTTTATTCGAATAACTCAAGTGAGAGCAAGCTCTCAAAATTAACTCTACCTACAATCATTTCATGTTCTGCAAGTGTGTGTTCTTACACACATTTAAAAGAGAAAATACTGTTATTATCTAAACACTCACTTGCAACAGGTTTTGATCACTGCTTAGAAATACACACACACACGAAAAAAATAAAAGTATTGCAATTTATATCCACCTGGGCTATTACTGATAGCTGTACCTCCAATTCAAGTTAAGGTGGAGGAAGTTGGAAGTCTTTTCAGAAAATATTCTGAATTTATTTTAATCCAGAGGATTAAAAGAAGAGATTAAGGCTCTGCACTCTATAAAAACAAAGTGTCTGGTTTTTAAAAGTGACCTTGTGATTTCCGCAATATATCAGTGTGACACTTCCCTAAGGAATCTGTTTCCATGCAAATGCATTATTTCCTCAGGTGCTAATCACAGTGTATCATACACACCCAGTTATTTTTATCTCACTTCAGAAAATATGACATAAACACCATGTTGAAGACAGTAAGTGATTATTTGGCAACTGTGTCTCTCAGTTCAGCTGTATCAATCACTGGCACACGTGTCCTCAAGAAAACCTCAACTTTTTTAGCCTCTCTCTTGGGCTGATGTCCCCTACGAGCATTTGGACTGACTCTGTTTTTCCACGGAGAGTTTATTCTTCTTGATGATAACACTAGCATAACTCACATAACAGACCATAAGTAGTTAGCACATGATCAGAGTGACTCACATTTCTTTAAGAGCTTTCCATAACTTACATGTTTGGGTTTGTGTCAAACTCACTTAATGTTTTCTGATTATCAAAAAATGACATTTCAGCTTTAAAAATGAAGTTGTGCAATATGGCATTTTTGCTCCCCTCAAGCGAACTCCAGAATAAGGTACTTTATGTTATTTTGGCCAGCCAAGGTGTCTGTATTGAATTGAATGAGGAAAAACTATTTTGTATATAATGCAATTTCAGTTAATCTAGTGAAACCATCGATTCCTTGATAAAGGAAGGCATAGAAAAAGTATTTGAATGTACATAGTTAACGTCTTATAAGCACAATATTAACACACTAATCACAAAGAACCTTATGCCAAAGTGAGTCTAGCATTAAAAATTGCAAATGTAATAACATACTGGAAAATTTTTCCAGAGTCCCTCAGATTTCATTTGGTTACATTTAAAAAATATTTCTTTACATTTAAAATGTATTCGCATAGTCTGAAAAATATGCATCTTGATCACTTATATGCTTATAAATTCAATAATTTTGGTGACTGTGGGAACATGTGGGACCTAAGCAAAGCAACTTACTGAACAAGCAATAGTCTGCTCCTGGGAGTCCTCAAGTGCTAATTTTACTCAGATAAAGGCTGACTGGTCTTTTGATGTCCCTGGGTCATTTTGTTTGTTTGTTTTGTTTTGTTGTTGTTTTTAGTTTTTATTTCATAATCAGAAACTTAACTCTGCAATCTAGCTAGACTTAGAAAGGAATAAGGAAAATACAGAACCCACAGAACTGCAGCCAAAGCACCAAGACTGCAGGATCTTTCGAGCAGACTGGGGTAAAGGGGTGCTCCCCTGAGCTACAGAAGGAAGAGCCTAGTAGTTAAGAAAAAACAGGAGTCAGATTTAGTAGATTTGCCCACAGTCAGCAATGGTGATCTTCTTGTTGGTCTTGCCGTTCGTTCTTGGACCCAAAGTGGTCCACGGCTTCCCTCATATTCCTGCCCTCTCTCACCTTGCCAAAGACCACATGCCTGTCATGCAACCGTTGAGTCTTGTCTGTGCAGATGAAAAACTGGAAACCATTTGTGTTGGGCCTAGTATTTGCCACAGACAAGGTGCCAGGACCCATGTGCTTCAGACGAAATTCTCATCATCAAACTTTTCCCCATAGATGGACTTGCTGCCAGTGCCATCATGGTGTGTGAAGCCACCCACGCTGGCACATAAATCCTGGAATAATCCTGAAAAAGCAGCCATCTTTATAACCAAATCCTTTCTCCCCAGTGCTCAGAGCACTCAAGTTCTCTGCTGCTTTTGAAACTTTGCAAACAGCTTGAAGAAGATGCAGCCCAAGGGCTCAGGGTTCATGGTGATGTCAAAGAACCCAGTGCTTTTGACCAAGGGCCGCAGCTCTGCCCTAAGTATGTTTGCAACCCTAGTGGCTCCTCTGGCTGTGTTTTATCCATCTTTCCAAATGTTTATCAGAGAAATCACTTGAACTACAATGGCTTACATCTTAAGGAGAGAAGGGTGTGCATGACACCACAGATCTGCTTCCCCCCCCTCCCCCCAGGTTACAGACACATGAGGAATAGGTACTCGACACTGAGCAGGTGATGCCTTACAGGACTGAACTGCCCTGTGTGCCTTTTTGTTGGTGTTGTGCATTGTTTTGCTTTCTTCTTCTTTTTGTTAAACCCAAATTTAAGAACAAAGGGAAGAACAAGGAAATCTGAAGCTCAGCAGAACATGAAATTTTGAGTGGTAAAGAGACAACATTTGTTTTATGTAACTTGAGTGACATTTGAGTTGAAAGCAATAAAACAAGAAAAAACAAAGCAGTTTTTCTTAAAATTCTTGCACAAAAAAAACATGAGAAAGTTTATCTAACAATCAATAATGTAAAGCATTTGGGCTTTAGTGGCTTGTGAAGCAAATGATAAAAGCCCTTCGCCGGCAAATCTTTTAGACCCTGACCATAAGAAATCATTTATAAAAATAATGATGACCAAAATTCTTCGAGTTGTGATAATAGCTGAAAAAAACGAATCTTTTAATGTTAAGATAACTTGAAATGTTAAAAAAGGAAAACTTCAGAAATTATTTGTTCTGTATGTCTCATTTTATCTGGTGTTTCCTACCCTCAAAAACTTAGGATATTTATTTGATCTTTTATCAAATATTTTTTTCCTCCCAAGTGGCCCTAAGATTAAAGATTTCCATCCATCATGCACGTTCTAAGATTAATAGAAGAGATGCTCAAACCTTAAAGACTTCTAACTCCTCCAGAATGAGTTCACCCCTGGCAGAGCTGTTAGCAGGAAGGACAACCACCTTTTGCACAGTGCCTCGATCTAAACCAAAAGAAAAAAAACAAAAACCAAAAAACAATAAGATGCAGGAAAGAAAGACATTTAAACATATGACCACTTACTTAGCATTTAGAATACTACTTATGTACTATTTAGTCATTAAAACGAGACTGTATATATTTAGCTATATTCCAAATCTCATATGTTTAAATTGAGATTATATATAATTAAAAATGAACTAGCAGGGACATCTTATATTTTGTAATTATTTGGTACAGTCATAACTATAAGAGAAGAAGAAGAAGAGTATGTCCAAGTGTCTTTTTTTTTAAGATTTTATTTATTTATTCATAAGAGACACAGAAAGAGGCAGAGACACAGGCAGAGGGAGAAGCAGGCTCCACGCAGTGAGCCTGATGTGGGACTCAATCTCAGGACTCTAGGGTCATGCCCTGGGCCAAAGGCAGATGCTCAGCTACTGAGCCAACCGGGTGCCCTTGTCCAATTGCCTTATAAAGTCATAAATTCTGTTTCTGAACTATGTGTGTATCCTTCAAATATTAATACATAATTTTAAGTTTGGCCCTTAAGAATATTACTTAAATCTTCAAACCAACATTATAAAGTGACAGTCTCATGTTTTGGATAACCTTGGCACATGATGATTTGATTATCTGAGAAAAAAATATTATTACAAATGAATTTTTATGGTAATTGTATTACAAACACTAGAATTAGAAACTTAGATTCGATCTGTAGCTGTGAGAGATTTCAAAGTAAAATGTTTTACCTACAATTTGAAATAATTTTCTTTTTTTTAAATTTTTATTTATTTATGATAGTCAGAGAGAGAGAGAGAGAGAGAGAGAGGCAGAGACATAGGCAGAGGGAGAAGCAGGCGCCATGCACCGGGAGCCCAATGTGGGATTCGATCCCGGGTCTCCAGGATCGCGCCCTGGGCCAAAGGCAGGCGCCAAACCGCTGCGCCACCCAGGGATCCCTGAAATAATTTTCAAAGTAGAAATATAACTGTGGTCTCAGATCAATTGTGGACACCTATTCACAGAATAATTCCACTGTTTTTACATCTATACACACTCACTTGGGAAATTTTTTTGGATATTCTTAAAATTCAGGGAAAAGTATGAAATTAGATGGTCCAAATAAACTTAAGCAAACACAAAAATTTACTTATAGTTCCAATGAGATTGCCAAAAACAGAGATGCCCAATAAATGTAATACAAGCAGAAAATATAATTTATGCCAGTATTTTTAGTTAAGATAGTTTTACATGTCACTTGAACATCTACCTTCTAGGTATGTAATTTTGCCACTCTACCAACCATGTACATTTTAGGCTTAAAGGAAACTAGTTGAGAATTGATGATGTGGGGTTAAAGCAAATGTGTAAATTATTTGATAAAGTAAAAATATATTTCCTCACCAAAGTATGTTTCTATTACAATAATTAACGAGCTCTATCATAAATATCAAGTCATTACTTTTAAGTATGAGCATGTAACTAAGAGTATATAATTTGGAAAGATGCATTATCATCAACAGATACTGGACCATGGTTATATTCTGTTAAGAAACATCAATAAGAGTTCATTTGAGAGATGCCTGGGCGGCTTAGTGGATTAAACAACAGACTCTTGATTTCCGCTCGGGTCTTGATCTCAGGGTTGTGAGAACGAGACCCATGTTGGGCTCTATGCTGAGCATGGATTCTGCTTGGGATTCTCTGATTTCTCTCTGCCCCTACCCCCCCCCCACAATTCCTCTCTAAAATGAAAAAAAGGAAGAAAAAGAAAGAAAGAAAGAAAGAAAGAAAGAAAGAAAGAAAGAAAGAAAGAGAAAGCCTATTTCACATTTACATTTTGTATCCTATGAGCCCTAACTGAAAGATTCAAAATAATTCTTATTTTTAAAATAACCTCTACATCTAATGTGGGGCTTGAATTTATGACCCCGAGATTAAGAGTCAGATGTGTTACTGACTAAGCCAGCCAGGTGTCCCTCAAAATAATTCCTAATAAAAAATAAACTCTACTTTAAAATGTCACCAACTAAAAAATTAAAACCTACTAAATAATAATAAATATAAACAGAAGAACAAGACTTAGATTTTTTGCCAGAACAATTCCTAAACCCTATGAGGATAAAAAGTGTGTGTATCTGATATTAGAAGTTTCAAACTATGCTCTATAACTTAAAATGCATTTCTTATCCCATATTCAAAAGTAAATAATCTCAAAGCATTGAAAGCGCTAGGTATAATTAAAACACTTTGAAATGTCTCTTTTTTACTGATCAGTTTCCTTAGGATCAGCCCGGGTAACAATTTGTACTATTTTTCTTGTAAGATAAGTAGCACATGTATAAATTTGAAGGGAAAAAAATATTTGGGGATGTTGTGCAAGACACGTCACAATTAAAATGGATGAATGTGGTTGCAGGTGTTCCCTAATTTCTATTAGCAATTCATCACCAAGGACCTTGGAAACGTCTAAGGAAATAAAATACATGAAAAACCCTACATTGAAAGCTTTGAAATTATGACAGCTAGGGCAAGATCTGTGTCTTATTGTGTGTGCACTGTGTGCGTGCGCGCCCATGTGCATATGTGTGTGAAGAACGAGGGCATAAAACCATCTTTGTCTTAGGTCATGTTATCATAAACATTATATTCTTTTCATTTCTTTTAAAAGGTCACAACAGAGTTTTATGGTTCCCTGCTGCAGTTTGTAAGGATCACTGGCACTTTCCGTGACAGCGGTGACCCATGTCTTGAGCAGAGAATGAGCAGAAACTGTGTATGATCAGTTAAAATAAAACTGCAAGAAAGGGAATCTTGACTACAGGGATTCCCAAAGATAAAGCTATCAGCTCTGGAAAAAAAAAAAAGTATTCTCAAATTAGACAACAGGCTCCTGTTTTTAACCTAATGTTTTAACTTAACTATGAGAGCAGTATTTCACACAAATCATCATTTCTTTTGAAAGAAGCAACAACAAACATACTTTATTCATGCATTTATGAAATATTACCCCCAAAAGCAGCTATAAAAAGAGACTAATAAAAAGATAATGCATTACTTGATTTTGACTCATTGCAAAAAAGCAAGAACACTCCTTTTATTTATTGCTTGTCTTTCTATTCAGTTTTGTTTTGTTTTGTTTTGCTGGTAATGATGACTGGATTCCCCTTTCTTTTAAGACCATCAAGGATAAAAATATATTTTTCTACCTAGTAAAACTGGATGTCAACTTATCTGAAACTCTTGCAAAAATATGTTACTTTCAGTATTGGTGACACTTCTACTTGAAAATCAAGTTTAAATAAAACCATAGAAATGCAAAATCCCCAAATTGGAGCACGTAACTGTTGAATGCCTAGCATGTGCCTGGTTCTACCATAAAAATGTGTCATTGAATTCTGACTTTCGGGGGGCGGGGCAAGCAGGTGGGGGGGCAGGGGGACAAGGGCCCGGCCACACGCACCTGCTGCGGCCCAAACAGCTCGGAGGCGGGGAAAATAAAAAAAAAATAGGGAAGAGGGGTCCCGGGAGGAGCAGGGCTACAGGGGCAGAGCCGGGGGACGGGAGAGCCCCGCCCTGAGGCCCAGACAGCGGGGGCCGCACTCAACTGGGAGCCCGGCAGGATGCTGGGGGGGGGGCGGCCCCAGGTCCTGGGGTCACCAAGACAGGGGCCTCATGGGTCCACAGCTCCCCCTGAGCCCGGCACCAGGCCGGGTAGGAAGCAGGGCATCTCCCCAGGTGCACACACCTGAGAGTCAGTACAGCAGCCCCCCCCTGCCAAGACCCCCTAGAAAGACAGGGGAAGAGCCAGATGTGGACCCAGAAACGCTGGAAAGCTCCAGGGGAAGGCGAGGGATTTACAGTTTATAGAACCAGAGGGTCCCCCTCTTTTTTTTTTTCCTTTTTTCAGTACAACTCGCTTTTCTATCAGACTGTAAATTTCCAATTTTTTTTTCTTTTCCCACCTTAACTAGAATATTTTCCCAGTTCTTTATTTTTAAGATTCTTCCTTTTTGACTTTCATATTTCTACAACTACAGGTCTTAGATATATTTTCCACATCTGGATTCCCTTCAACATACTCAATTTTGGGAGATATACGAGATATGTTTTTTGTTTGTTTGTTTGTTTTGTGTTTTCTGTTTTCTCTGTCTCGTTTTGTTCTTCAATGGTGAAGTTAGTACCTTCTAAAACACGACCAGCACACACCCGGAACCCAGGGGAACACTGCTCTGGGTCACTATGAGAGATTATATTCTCTCTCCCTTCCCATTTTAAAAGGCCAAGAATCCCAAAGAAGAAGAGAAAAAAGAAAAAAAGAGAAAAAATGAGAAAAAAAAGGCTCAGGGTTTCAGACTGGATAAACAGCAAGACCCATCTATATGCTGTCTAAAAGAGACTCATTTTAGACCTAAGGACACCATCAGCCTGAAAATGAAAGGTTGGAGAACCATTTACCATTCAAATGGTCCTCAAAAGAAAGCTGGGGTAGCAATCCTCATATCAGGTAAGTTAAAGTTTATGCCAAAGACTGTAGTAAGAGATGAAGAGGGACACTATATCATACTTAAAGGATCTGTCCAACAAAAGGACAATCATGAATATTTATGCCCCTAATGTGGGAGCTGCCAAGTATATCAATCAATTAATAACCAAAGTAAAGACATACTTGGATAATAATACACTAATACTGGGAGACTCCAACATGGCACTTTCTGCAAATGACTGATTTTCTAAGCACAGTATCACCAAAGAAACAAGAGCTTTAAATGGTACACTGGACTGGATGGATTTCACGGGTATTTACAGAAGTTTGCATCCAAACACAACTGAATACACATTCTTTTCAAGTGCACATGGTACTTTCTCCAGAATAGACCACATACTGGGTCACAAATCCGGTCTCAACCGATAACAAAAGATTGGGATTATTCCCTGCATATTTTGAGACCACAATGCTTTGAAACTAGAACTCAGTCACAAGAAGACATTTGGAAGAAA